ACACGATTGTGCCTTTTTATTTAAAGAATGAGCTTAGAGAACTGTTTCTGGCTCAAGCTGTCCCTGGCCATCTTTTAGGAAAGCATGAATGGGTTGAAGAGTCCTTACGTGGAAGTTCAATAAACAACCTGTAAAATGTTTGGGGACCTCAGAAGACGTTTCCTGTGTTAATTGTAATTTTCTCTTATGGAAACAATTGTTTATTGCCAGGTGCTGTGTCAACCTTCTGAGTGAGAGGCTGTGGCGTGCAGTCTCCGTGCCGCTGGACACTGAGTGCAGCGTCCAGGCTTTGTGGTGGCTTCGCACCTCACCCCAGGTGGCCTGAGTGAGACAAAGAGAGACAGCAGATGACAGGACCACAGGATGTTTTTCAGGACTCCATTATTATTATTTTTCTTAACCTTTTCACAGTATCACTCCGTCAATCGTTTATAGTTTTTAAAAAGAGATGCACATTTTGTTAAGTGAGCAGGTGAAAGGAAAAACACAACTTAACCGACATCAAGAGATGCAGAGAAATTAATGCCAGGGAATATCACTGCTTCAGAGATGTTGACGCTGAGAGCATTCTGGGTGCTGTGACAAGTTCTGAGTAATTGGGACTTGCTCTCACCCACAAGAAGCCGAACACTCCTAGGCAGCCTTCCCATTGTCTGAGTTTTGCAAAGGCTATGACATTCAGATAAGTTCAAAAACAAAGTCATTTTTATTTGTACTCCTTGTGAGATCTCAGGATGCCATTATGAGATGGAGAAAGCATGGAGAATTCTGACCTCCTGAGGGACGAAAAGAAATCATGTCACTCACCCTTTACTTCCTCTTACCACGCTTCGAAGAAACACCAAAAGGGAAACAAATTAAAGGATTGCTCTTTTTTCTGGATCCCAAATGTCAAAAGTGGCTACATCTCCAGAAATAAGTCTCTTGATTAATTGGGTAATGTCACATAGAAGCGGCAGTTCTCAGCCTTAGAAACATGGAATGCATTCATTTGGTTTCAGAGTTAACCAACTATAGTTTGATGGGCGCCTGTATTTATGTGCACGTGGTGTTACATAGAACTGCCAGGAGAAATGGAAATAGCACACCAGTGACACTTGGAATCACAGGGTTTGTACTTCATTGACTTTGGGTTGTCCTATACGATTCTGTGTTTCCTTTAGTAACTCACTAAGGCAGTCAGACTTCAGTGTGATGGTGTGTAAGTGTGATTTGTTATAAATTGCACAAGCATGCACACATCAAATGCATAGTCAAACGTGGGGGGTGAATTTAACACTTTCTAGTATAGAAAAACCCAATTTTTTTCCATGAGAGACATACAACAGTGAAAGTTGACTGAATGTGGCCCGTGCAGAAATAACGGGGTTGTAGTCTTTCATCAGAAAAAAAAAAAAAAAAAAAAAAAAACATCATTTCTGCAGGGTTTACCCCTTGTCTGTTCTTGCTCTATTTTAACAGAATGGTCTTGTAACTCTTGGTTTGAAAGTTGTCATACAGCCTCACAGCAGGCCTATATTATCTACAGAGTTCTTTATGAGCAAATATAAATCACCACAAATGAGACTTTTCACAGCCAGATATATGTAGAAATCTGTGTCAGTGCTTTCCTGGCTGGCTAAAAAATATCTCTAGGCTCTTGAAGCTTCCTCACAACTCATCCTGCTCAGACCCTTTTGGGAAGCAATTCTCAAAACTTGAGATTTATGGTCCACAGAACTGATAGTGGCTATAAAGTTTTCTATTTTCTCTTTTCTTTAATATTAATGCAGAGAATGAGGCGTTATCGTTCATTATTTTAGTTCACGAGTATCTTGTGAGCTTGAAATGTAGTTCCTGGGAATGTGGCTTACCTCTGCTTAATAGGGGAAATGTGTGGACTTTGGCAACAAGCTGTTTTCCCATTAAATATTTTTATGTAGATTGTATAAAATCCACATTAGGAACAAAATCTTAATATAAATGCAATATCCAGGCTTAGTTTAAAATTTTAAAATCTTTACAAAATATTAATTCCTTCTGAGCCCCCAAAGTAAAATATTGTGAATTGGAGAACAGCCAGCCTGTCTATTATTGTTAGAAATGGTAATGATAATATATTCTCGTTTTATTTTATTATTTCCATAGATATATAATATTCTGGCCAACTTTATCTACATCACAGTAAGCTGAGTTTTACTCTGCAGTTAGCAACCTCTTAGCATGCAAATCCCTTAAAAACAAATAGCATGCTCTGGATAATTTAAACTAAAGACAGTGCATTGTTTTAACTCACCTGATTTCTGTTACCTTCTGAGACAGGGTTTTAATCCAGATTTGACTTTCCTGATTTTTTTTGTGGGTGTGTGTGAAATTTTTAAAAGTTAATTCTCTACTGAGGTAAATTGTTTACCAATTCTTACTGAGGTTGGAATGGATGGCTTTCAGCATATGTTTTGCTTTGACAGTTTTAGTGGTCCTCACCCTTCAACTTGGAAATGTTTGCTTTGTTTTAGGTGGAATTTTAAGAAATCGATCAGAACGAGCTTAAGTTGAAGACCCCTTTTGTGTTGCTTTTGACAGATTGCTTAAGGGTCTTGCTGGGGGAGAGTGAGTTCAGCCATGTCTCAGAAAGTGTGACGGATCCCACACTGAATTAGATGAAGAGTAGTTCAGCCTTTTGCTAGAGACTTACTCTGCCCTTACTACCGATTATCCCCCTAGGTATAATTATAGAGATTTAGCGTTTAGTACATGTACTATGCACAGTGGTTCCAAGTACTATGTAGATTCCTCATCTGTGAGGGAGGTGGTGTTACTGTCCCCAGTATTAGATGGGGAAGCTGGTGCCCAGAGTGAGCCTGCCTCCAGGTCTAAGTGTTATCTGTGCATTTTGTAATATATAACAATAGATTGTTTGCTGTGAGTGACTGGTCCCAAGGCCTCACAGTTGCTAACTGTGCATTTTATCCCTGAGCTATAGCCCCAGCCTCATAATATGGATTTTTAAAGAAGCCAAAGTTAGACAGATTTCAAGCATTGGCAAATCTCCTCTACTCCAGATCTGAGGGCAATGCCTGTTTTGAAAGTAACTAAAGTAAAATATTTAGGAAAATGTCCTCTTGCCTTAATTACTGAGAGTCACATACTATAAAAGGCATAGGTAACAAACACTAAACAAATTACAGCATTGTTGGATGATTTGTGGGGTCAGAATATGACGGCATAATAGGGTGTGTCATTTGCCATGACAAGGACATTTCATTCTGTGCAAGACTTTTGAAAGTGTGTGTCTCTTCTGGGCCCTCAGTCATTTTTTTTTTTTTT